CTGTTTTCAAGATCTATTTCAGGTTCAGAGGCTACCCTTTCATTCCCTCTTGCCACCCTGCCAAAGCTTGGAGACCACTGGCTCATGGCAGAACCAGTCATTGAAGGTGTCTTGGGGTTAGACTTCCCAGTTCTTTTTTTTTTTTTTTTTTTAAAAACAACCACAGAAAACACCATGAGGGAAGATGCTTCAACATTTAGCTCTGTTTCTCCTTCCGTCTTCTACTATCAGGTGGCTGCACCAGGTCTTCCAAGCAAATTAGAGCTATTTGTGCTATTAAAACAGGGATTTTTGTTTTTCTTGTTGTTGTTATCAGACCAACATCTTAAGTGTATTGGTTCTTTTGTTGTCACCTGTTGCAGGTATATAGAGCTCTCACACAAGCTCCCCATCTATGTATTTGAATTGGAAGAGGCCTGTTTATTGAGATTAGAAAGGATTTTCTTCAAAAAATTAAAAATGTCTGGTTGGTCCTCGTGGGCTTGGTTTATACACAGATATGTTTCTTGGCATAGATATCCAAGGGCCTTGCAATAGAAGAGCAAAAAAGATTGCACTGTGTTGAAGAGCTATGCTCACAAAACCAGAAAGGTGTACTAATGAAAAGGACCCATCTGCCAAGTCAGAGTTACCTTAGACCATAGTGGTAAAAGTTTTCTGCTCAAAGTTGCACCTCCATCACTGCTTGCCAGGACTGCTGTATCAACCGAATGTAGGTAAGGGGGGTAACATAGAGTGGTGTGTGTGTGTTTATATACATACCGATCTCCTCCAACTGATAGTGCTATGCTACTACAATGGCAAATTAAGGCTGGCCATGCCTGAATCTTTGAATGTTTTTAGTATGTAACTGTACATACAAGTACAGGACTGTTAAAGATTGTTCTTGGTCTTAGAAATTCTGAATCTATCTATATATATATTTAAATGTTTAAAAAAATTGGATGTTTTGCAGTTCATATGCTTCAGAAAAAGTTTGGAACACCTTATTCATGTGTTAGGAAGGTTCTTAGGGTTGTGATTAAAGAGTATCAGTGAGTACTGATGAAGTATGTGAAATAGAGAAGAATGGAACAGGTAATGGTCAGATTAGCCTGTAATCTGTTAACAGGTGAGAACAACTTGGACATCCAGTTGCAAATGTAAACTAATGATAAGGAAACTAGGTTGCAAGTGGAACGTGAGGTCTGTGTATCAGAGTATGTGCCCACACCTGATGTATCTGTATTTTTTTGTATTGCTAGAGGAAGAGTAAGTTTGTATTTTTTTTTTTTCCCAGAGTACTAAGCCAGCAATATTTGAGTAGATTTTTTTTTCTTTGAAACTATAGGTAAAACTTGCTCACTTCAGGGAGTGGCAGAAAACATTTCCAAAGTTGCTCTTTGTCGGTACACTTCTACTACTTTTTTTTTTTAACCCCTCACAGTGTTCTGTAATTAAACTGTATAGTTCCTTTGTCTCAGTTTACTTTAGAAAAATAAAATAGATTTGAAAAGTTGGTATTGCAATATTTTACTTAGTCTGTGTTCATTGGTCTGCTAGGAGATGCTGGCAGTGGGCTGGGCCTCTTCTCGGCACTGATACTCATGTTCATTTGGAGCAAGATTTCTCTTAACCAGTGGTGTGTTGTGAACCAGTGAGGTACAATATGGAAATTGCAGGCCCTTCTGAACTAGGGCCAGCTCAGGAGTGCTACATTGTATTTCCACAATTAAAATATCTGAGTCCAACCAGCCTTAGAGAAAGGGGGAAAATGGCAGTGTATCAGATGGTGGAGGAGGAAGTAAGACGTCTGGGATCACGTGTAGAACAGTCATCTGGAGTGTCTGTGTGCAGGCCACAAACTGAACTCCAAAGGCATCTTTCAGGATGAGAAAAGAGTTGGATTCTCTGCCTCTTTCGAGAGGAAGTGAATCTCTAGCTGGAACCATATTAAAATGGAATAAGGATTTCCAGATAGGAACTTGAGGGTGTAACTACATCTGTGCCACTATATTGCTTTAAGTAGTAAAAACCGTAGGTAAACAGACTGCAGCTTTCCCCCCTTTTGAGTATGGCATAAAGAAGAAGAAATGGATTAGAACTGAGTCACCACTCATTTTCACTCTTGCTTACATATCAATGACAAACTTTTACAGGAAGAAACTGGCTTTTAAAATGTATCTTTAAAAGGATCCATAGACCTTGTAATGCTGTCTAGTGCTAGTGTTCATTACAACTAACCTTAGAAAGTGATCTGTATTAAGCAGCAAAATGTACTTCACTTATGTATTTTTCTTAACAACACAGTTGCTGGTTAAAGTTACGCTTATAGGTATTTAGGGGACACCACTGTAGTGAAGTTTTTCTGGGGAGGTGAACATTTGTGTGTTTGTTTTTTCCCCTCCTCTCCTGTCTTTCTAGAAACTGTGGTGTCTCCTGAGTGCTGCAGTGAAGTAGAGCCTAGCGGTAGGAAGAACAGAGTCTGATAGTGAGTCATCGGTGTACTGGCTAAATCCCCGCCATGGGGTCTGGGGGCCAGCAGTGCTCTCGGCCCGGTCGCTGCTGACGCCGCCCAACGTCCCCGCCGTCGGCCCCGAGGCCTT